TCCTCGCCAGAGTCGACATGTGTTCCTTGCTCATTGAGGGGTCACTGTTTTCCATCACCCCTGTGTGGGAGAGGGTTAGCGGCAGGGGTGGAGGGGAGCTGCTGGCCTCACGCCCAGTTGGAAAGAATAGGCAGGAGGTGGAGAGCTACAAAAGGTCTGACGGGGCATCTTTATTGGCGCTGCAAGTTGCAGCAGTGGCTGAAGCGTGCACAGTCATACCTGCTTATAATTCATGGCTCTGCTTGAGCCATTAGAAAATTCTTTCTTCTTGGCAGATACTACTTCCTCCATACAGCAACGCCCATATATGGTAATGCCTCTGTCTGTAATCACTTACTCTCACTGAACAGGGCTGAGCTCCTTGAACCTTAGCAAAGAGTTTGTAACCATGAAACAGGAGAAATGACTCGACTGAATCTCTTTTCCCTTTAGATTTGTCATTTATATTTACAAGTTTCATATTTCTTTATGTTCCTGTAGTATTTAAGTGGATATAAAGTTTCTGTTAATGTCAGTCTACTGGTAGTTTTGGGTAAGACGTTGCTTTAAAAAAAAAAATCCACAAAGAATAAGAAATAAACTCTTGAACCCCTTCCTGAGGAGAAAGCTCCAGCTCTCCTCTGTTTCCAAAAACTGCACAAACACGATTGTCCCAGCCACATGCTGGTTTTATAACTCTGTCACAGTCCGACTGCGTGTTCACACGGTCTGCGTCGGTGTATGTCGCAACATCTCTCTGGTGTGGTTCAACATGCAGCACAATGGTGGGTTGGGCAGTAACCAAGATCTTCCCAAATATTTATTGAATTAAGTTGTCAAGTGACTGGAAGCTGAACTTGAATTGAAACTGGCTTACTTGTACTGAGAAAGATCAATGACAGCGAGGGAGGTTAGTGAGCAGTGAAACTCAAATAATAATAATAATAGGATCTCACCTCTCTGAGTAGAGGACGGTTCATTTTTCAGCAGCATTTTTTAGTTAACAAAATGAAGAGAAGCACAAGAACAGCCGTGCAAAATGTTGGCCTCTGTTGATGAGTTGTGTAGTTATGTTGAGGATATATACATGCAGCACATTATGATACACTGGCTTATATCATTCTAAATGGAATGTTCTGGACTGATGGTTGGACAAAATATGACATCGTCTTGGACTGTAACATATGTTTTCTAAACCAAAATGATCAGTTGTTCAGGTGAGAGAGTTATCAGTAAAGAAAATGACCATTAATTTCCTGTGCCCAGCACTTTCAGTATAGGCTACAGTACTATAGTGTTGAGTTTTTTGAGACGCAAAAGTAGCAGAGAGATCTTTTTAAAGACCTACATTCAAAGCCTAAAAAGTCAAATAAAGTGCAGCCCAGAATGCTGCGGTTTCCATGTGCATGCTTTGCTACTGATGTATCAAGTTAGTCATGGGCTGAAAGATCAAATTTCATCATCTTAAAAAAAAAACAAAAACATTTCAGCTGAAAAATGTGTGTATCTAGGCTAAGGGTTTAATCTGGCAGATGCCTTGAGCAGAGCATGTCCCAGGCTGAAGCCCAGCGGAGCTTCATCTGTGAAGGTCTGAGTGTGAGCTGTCTGGAATGCAAAGAGGACTCTGGGAGGGGTACGGTGCGGAGTCTGACGTCAGTTCACTGGCAAGGTGGTGGAGGACGGTGACCCAGGAGTTCAGGCTCGGCCAAGGATGCAACTTGAAGATAAATACATTGGGGGAGAAAAAAAAAAGAGTGTTCTGGGAAAAAGAGACGGAGTTAAAAGCTTAGGGGAACAGACATGTAGCTGGCCAAATTAGGAGCGATGCAGTGGAACATGGAGAGGTTTGTCAAAGAGATGTGCTCTGAACATGCGCAAAAACTAGCCGGGAAAAGCACGTGATCAGATGAGGCGCTGGTGAAGCGAAGTTGGACTGCTGTTGTAGCTGGGGAACCTTGTTTGCGCTCACTGAGGAAACAGTGACCCCCACTGATCAACACTGTGCATGTGTTTTGATTGTCACTGTCTGGCATCGGGTGTCTTCCCACTTATGTTAAATGCATTTGAGTGTTTTTGTTGCTTCAGGACAGAGGGAGCTTGTCGTGTTGTCGTCGGTGGCCTGAAGATGAGCGTGTTTGTGGTTTTAGAGCTCCGACTTAATATTTGTTTCATTTCTGCACATCATGTCAAAAACTATAGTCCTATGACACCTGAACATTTAGACCAAAGTCCTGCACTGACCCAGCTGGTAGTTTCTTTCTGTGTTCTACACAGATGCTCTGTTCACAGACTTGCTGGATGTACTAGATGAAGGCAGTTCTCTTGATGTTTAGTTCTACTTTTCTTAGGCACCTGTGGGAGATGGATTAGAAGAGCACACGCCCAAACTTTAGCAACAGAGGTCAAGATATCCTGACCTTGAGTCTCAAGTGTGGGTCAGAAAAGCTGCTAAATCCCTGGATCCCACACTGCACCATAATTAGTAATGGGTATCATTAGCAATTACTGATATTGATCCTGATACTGCGCATTGATACCAATACTTCTCGATACTCTTACTTGTACTACTCTCCTTAAAACATAGACTTGGTGTGAAAAGGGTTAAGACAAACCGGATGACATCACTGTGACATCGTCAGGGTTAATGTTGCAGACTTGACGAAGCTCCTCCGTGATATACAGCTGTTTTCATAAGCTGAGGTTTTTTCCTCATCACCACTGCTAACGTTAAACAAAGCGACACTACTGCTAAAATCATGACCTGAATTCATGCTACCTGTTGCTGGTTTGTGTGTCTGTGTACACGTGTGTGCAGGTGCGTATTGTGCTGGACAGAATATTTCTGGTGCTGAATGATGCATGTGTGATAAAAGGTAATATGGTCCACTTGTATCATTATCAGTGTGTTACTGGAAGTGTGTGTGTGTGTGTGTGTGTGTGTGTGTGTGTGTGTGTGTGTGTGTATGTCTGCCTGTGGTCCTGTCAGATGTCCTTCACTGCTGGCAGGTGATGTTAGTATGCAGGACGTGGGTTGGCGGAGATGCCACTTTGTTACAGATCAGCTCCTCTCCTCCCCCTGCATATAGCAGCAGCTCCACTCAACAATACCTTGCTGGAAATTGGTCTTGCTGGGTTGCTATGGTGATCACACAAGGGTACCACCTCCCATTCTCTCTCTCTCTCTCCCTCTCTCTGTATCTCTCACTCCTTTGCTTCCTCTTCACTGGGGAAGCTGCAGTGCAGTGATGACAGAGTAAAGGATGCTGGGATACCTGCCCACAAGCCGGCAGTGACACAATCTGAAGTCAAGGTCACTGTATCACTGTGTGTGTGTGTGTGTGAAGCAGTAAGCAAAGACATTAGTGTTTGTGTGCTCCAGGCTCTGCCTTAACTTAACCATATGATGAAAGGGGATCCTCCCAGGCAAGTGAGACTAGTGGTGTGTGTGTGTGTGTGTGTGTGTGTGTCTCCTATATCAGGCCTCCCTCAGTGTCAGTTGAGCTAGCACAGACCTGCAAACGCGTCACCACAGAGCTGGAGGGAGGGGTGTGAACTCACTCTTGACAGTCGACATGCATTCAGCAGACTCAGACGCTTCTGGCCCGTATGTTGTGCATAAAGAGCAATAAAACAGAATGTTTATGTTTCTGTCCCACAGAATGTTAAGGGCACCATGAACCTGACTTTTGTTTTTACCTCACAAAGTCATGACATTGTGGTTCATGCAGTGTTTTTGTATTTATTTACTTGTGCATTTCCCTGTTGGACAGTTTAAGCCCCCGCCTTACGCTTCAGGTGGAGCATGTGTGATCACAGGTTGTGTTTGGTTGTGGCAGGGGGAAACGGTATTTATCGCCCAAGGTCTCCAGGCAGAAATAGCAGTGTCTTGTTGCACATGTGCACACTACTACACACGCCAGTCCTTTAAAACTGAGTGTAAAATCCCATGAGCTGCAGCATGATGGCTGGTGTCAAAAACAAGTCCTCTAGCTGTTCAGCTGCAGGATTCCTCTTTGATTTCCCTGTTGTCTGATGCCTGCTATGGCTTCCATCTTGTTGCTGTTGTGTCCTTGACAGCAGCAGCCTTAGTCGGCTCTGGCCTACTTCTGTGGTTTATCAGGCAAGAGGAAAAGAGCACAGAAGGAAACACAGCGCAGTGGAAAACATTGAAATGCTGCAGAAAGACTTGGAATCGCAAAGGCAGCCAGTAGGGCTGCAGCTACCAACTATTTGGTAACTAAGATGTATAAAAACCAAGCAGAAATCAGTTTTCCACATTATGAAAACCATGTATTTGTTTTTTGCAGTGTTTCTCTGCAGTGCATTGTTAAAGGAAAAATCACATATGTGTGTGAGAACAGAGCTTTTTATAAAGCACAAATATATGTCCTCTGTTTGATATGAAATATATATGTTCATAAAGCATATAAAGGGCCAGTACAAACATCCAGGTGGTACCCTGATGCAGGCAGGATGACTGAACATGTTTAGGCAGTAATTCATGGTTTACTGAAAAGACTTTCAGATGGACTTTGCATGCGTACTATAAGTGTAATAATTTTGAACAGTATAAGAAGTAGGATCTATTTTGGCAGCATAAAACAGATAATCTATTCTATTTAGTGTCTGTTATTGCTCTGCTAACTTTCTTACCAGTCTCATGCATGTGTAGTGGAGTCTTACAGCCCCTGGTTCCTCAGTTGCACAACAGGAAACGTCTCCAAAAACACTCCCAACATCAACAAAGGCCACAGAGGCTATTTCCATCCTCTCTGTTGACTAAACCTGCCTCCCGTATTTAAGGTTCATTTTAAAGCTCACCCTGTGGGAGGTGATTTGTGCAGCGAAGTGAGAGTCAGACCCTTGAGAGGCGTGACGGGGGTGCAGTACCGACAGCACCAGGATTGGAGCATCATGCCTGAAAGCTGCTCCACAGTGTCCAAAACTCAGTCCATCTTTAACCTGTGCCCACCCATTCTCTCCCTCCTCTAGTGCGAGGATGTCGTCCAGGGAAGATTGTCCAGATGACGGAGGCCGAGGTGCGTGGCCTGTGCATCAGGTCCCGGGAGATCTTCCTCAGTCAGCCGATCCTTCTAGAGCTGGAGGCTCCGCTCAAAATCTGTGGTCAGTAGTCTGCCATTCAGCCCTGCAGTCTGTCATTATCTCCTGCTCCTCCCTTCTTCGATCCATCACCGCTCCCTCTCCATCCTCCATCCAGGTGACATCCATGGACAGTACACAGACCTGCTGAGGCTCTTTGAGTACGGCGGCTTCCCTCCAGAGGCCAACTACCTGTTCCTGGGCGACTATGTGGACAGAGGGAAGCAGTCTCTGGAGACCATCTGCCTGCTGCTGGCGTACAAGATTAAATACCCTGAGAACTTCTTCCTGCTCCGGGGCAACCACGAGTGTGCCTCCATCAACCGCATCTACGGGTTCTACGATGAATGTGAGTGCTCTGCTCTAATGTAGTCGAGCGGATCGTGCAATCTAGTTAGCGCCCAGTAGGTGAGCAGAAGTGTAGTTGTCAGAGAAGCAGTCAGGCAAACCTGAGAGACTTAAGCTGAAATTGCTGTATGAATCACTGAGTTGTTCCTGGGACTAGGTGAAGAACTGAATCCTTTACTCCACATATGTCCTCTTGGCTTCTCAAGCTTGAGCTTGTAAAACCACAGTTAACAGCCCACACAGTCTGCTGACTCACTGCCTGGCTGCTTTTGCAGGTAAACGCAGATTCAACATCAAGCTGTGGAAGACTTTCACTGACTGCTTCAACTGCCTGCCCATCGCTGCCATAGTAGACGAGAAGATCTTCTGCTGTCATGGAGGTATTCACACCAAAACAAGAAATGCACATCTGTTTGTGTATTGATTTCTGGATTTGGAGTATGTCTCCTTGATGTTCACCTGAGGGTGAACACACAGAATAAGGCTGTGCACTCCTGTCGTTGCTTAAGGCCAGGTGTGATCCATGTTTGAAAGCTTTTAGTATTCTTGGGTTTGTGAGCCTGATGCGAGGTAAAGGGGTCAGAGCAAGTCAGTAGCTTTTATGACGGGATAAAACCTGCACAGGCACGAGGGGAGACTGACGAAGAGATGTACTTTGTTGTGTTGCCCACAGGCCTCTCTCCTGACCTGCAGTCTATGGAGCAGATCAGACGCATCATGAGACCCACAGATGTGCCTGACACAGGTGGGTCAGCACACACACGTGCACACAGTAGGCCAGGTGCTGCTCATGTCATGGATGTCCTGGCTAATAGGATCATAGGATTTATTCTTGGTTTAGATCAGTCACACTTTAGTTTTGAGGTACTTGTATTCACTTGAGCATTTCCATGTAGTGCTAATTTGACTCCTGCTTCACTACATTGTTACTTTATAGTTTGTTTTTATATACAAACTATACTTTATAATCATCTTAAAAATTATGATCCACTGTTACAATTCGAGTGCATTAATCAAACATGAAACAGTGCTCCACATCAGTATTATTAATCCAGCATATAATAATATAACAGAAAATACTTGGGTCATTAAAACGATTTGCTAATGATGCCTATGTATTTTTGAGTAATATTGTGAATACCAGACTTCAATTTGCCACTAATGCATTTAGTTTCTTTTGGGACATTTTAATATGTACTGTATTAAATTTGCATGGTTATTTTGGTGAGTTTAGGCCTGGCTGTGGGTTGGTGGCATGAAGCCACACCCACAACAGAAACACACACCTGGGCCACTGTGATGCCTCTAGTTAGCTGAGCTAGTTGAACTTGAAATGTACTTTTTAAAAGGCAGAAAAACCTGAGTGAGACAGTTCCTGCCCTGCCCAGTACCGCCTTGTGGGGTGCATAAGACGGCTGCACACGCTAAACTAGCACCACGAGTTTCTCCCAGGCTGACAGTGAGGAGGGGTTGATTTAGATCTGTAACGGCCAACGCGCTTCCTGCAGTAATAAATCAAACTCATGCACACTAGTTCATGACAACCCAGCCCGACTCTGAGGTAGGAGTGTTTTTAGTGCAAGCTTTTCTTTGACTGGGGTTCCACAGAGGGACTCTTGAGTCCATGTAAACTCAGCCACTGGTGGATTCGTCTGTTCTCATGGCTATTATTTATGTTCTCTGGTGAGCACATGAGAAGGGAGTAAGTGCCGGCTGTCAGCTGTCAACATCTCTCTCCTTATACCCATTAATCCTAGGTCATATTTAATGCTGTGCCTTTTCATGTGCTATACTATCAGTCTGTTATAAGTCCCAATGGACATGAGGTCTTAAGTCTTCATCAAAGCTGGTTTGGCCTTATAAGGCAGCCAGTGTTCAGACCTTGGCAGCCACTGTCTCTCAGGGCCTCTTGTTATCTTTCAGGGAGGCTCCAAGTGTCTGAATGTGAAGTGTGTGTGTGTGTGTTTGTGTTTGTGTGTGTGCATACATTACAGAGGGGCAGTCATTAAATAGTTGATGTAAAGGTGACTTCCAGTAGTTGGAGAGAGGCTGTGACCCAGGCAGGAGTGTTGGATCCCAGGTCAGACGTGGAGACAAGTCGTGTTAGCAGTCAACTCCACTGAAGTGAAGCGTGTGGGATGATACAGTTGAGCGTGTGCCTTGTTCGTCCCAGGGCTCCTGTGTGATCTGCTGTGGTCAGACCCAGACAAGGACGTCCAGGGCTGGGGGGAGAATGACCGCGGCGTGTCCTTCACTTTTGGAGCTGATGTGGTCAGCAAGTTCCTCAACCGCCATGACCTGGACCTGATCTGCAGAGCTCACCAGGTACCCCCCACACACACATTTGTTAATTGTTTCAATACATGATTAACACCTTCCCTTAATCAGGGGTGCGCCTTACCTGATTTATCAGGCTTCCTAGAAACATCCACAGGGTGGCTGCGGGTCCTTAAAAAGTCTTAAAATGTCTTAAATAAAGATCTCCCAATAAAAGGCCTTTAAAAAGTATTAAAAAGCCTTAAATTCTGATTCGAGAGGTCTTAAATATTTTTTGTGACATTACCGCAAAAAAACCAAAACTTAAGTCAGAGATCCAACACGCTGTTTCCAAAAATCCCACTCCACTACGCAATGTTTTGCACTGCGGTTATGAGAACGTCAGCCTTCTTCTTCTGTTTCTTTTATAGGCAGTTGCTAACAACAAACAGCTTACCTTGCAGACCGCCAATAAAATGAAGAAGAAGTATTTTTCCCGTAGCTCGCTGTTGCTAGTGTCATGACCAGAGAGAATGGGTAAATGTAAGTTTAATTATAAGTGGCTTCAGAATGATGACCTCTCATGGTGGTTGAAGCCGGTGCCTGAAAATGTCTTCGAGGCAAATTGCATCGTATGTCGCAGACGTTTTAAACTCGGCACAATGGGCATCAAAGCGGTGGAATCGCACACGCAGAGCGGGAAACACCAGGAGTATGCGAGAGCCCGCGGTAAGAGTTCGATTCAAGGGTTCTGCTCTACTCTTCCTGATAGCAAGGATGTCACCGTGGATACTGAGGATCCTCAGCCTACAACGCCACCATCTGACCTGCGTGTAGTTGTTGGCTCTACGCCAACACTAAGAGTGGAGGTAATTTGGGTGCTGAGGACGGTAACAGGCCATCACTCATTCAGGTCAAATGACGGGATTGAGGAGGCTTTCAAAGCCATGTTTCCGGACTCTGGACTTGTGCAGACATTTACATGTGGAAAGGATATAAGCAGAACATGTAGCTAGGTTTGGACTGGCACCATATATCAAAAAAGAACTTATCGCAGAGGTCAACAGGTGTGGTGCTTTTGTGATCATGTTTGATGAGACCCTGAACCAGACAACTAAAAGCAAGCAACTGGACCTGCATGTGCGGTATTGGTTGAATGACCGTGTTCAGTCAAGGTTCTTTGGATCTCAGTTTATGGGACATGCAACTGCACAAGATCTACTTCAACATTTCAAAGTAAGTTTTCTTTTATTCAGTGTATTTATTAGCTTACATATTAGAGTGCATCATAGAAAATGTCAGTTATAATATATATTTTTATAGGGTATGTATTTGTTTGATATGTACAGTGAGGAACAGAAGTATTTGAACACCCTGCGATTTTGCAAGTTCTCCCACTTAGAAATCATGGAGGGGTCTGAAATTCACATTGTAGGTGCATTCCCACTCTGAGAGACAGAATAAAAATTTAAAAAAATCAGGAAATCACATTGTATGATTTTTAAAGAATTTGTCTTGCACTGCTGAACATAAGTATTTGAACACCTGAGAAAATCAGTGTTAATGGTGTGCAGCATCTTGATCTGAGAGAAATGTTATCTGTCTCCATGGATGGACCCAGTGTAAACTGGAAGTTTTTTGAACTCTTGCAGCAAGAACATTCAGAGGCCTTTGCAGGTGCCCAGCTGACTGTGGTCGGGAGCTGTGGTCTCCACACACTCCATAATGCCATAAAAAGTGGCTTTAGTGTCTGGCAAATGGAGAAATTTCTCAGGGCAATGCATACAGTCTTCCATAATAGCCCTGCAAGAAGAGAGGATTTCTGCACTCTGACCAAGACCTTTGTGTTTAACCCTGGCATTTTGTGGGCATCGTTGGATAGAAAACCTACCAGTCATCGATAGGGCTATTGCAGTATGGCCAATGATCGTGATGTATGTGGATGCAGTAACACAGAAAAAACTTCCAAATCCAAGATCATCATCCTATGACTCCCTTGCAGAGGCACGGAATGATCCTTTTATAATGGCCAAGTTTCATTTCTTCATGGCTGTCTCCAGAACCTTCTCCACTTTTCTGACTAAATATCAGACAGATGAGCCTGTGTTGCCATTCATTAGCAAAGACCTGGTCATGCTCATGAAGGTAATAACATCCTATTGACCCTTCTATTTGAATTTATTGTCATTAAGACATGTTATTTACATTGACATAATACATGTGTGTTCAGAGTTTGCTAAAAAGGTTCATCAAGGAAGAAATCCTTAATGACATCACTGCACTGCAGATGGTCAGACTGGACACAACTAACACGAAAGCAAGAAAACGACCAAAGAATGTGGACATTGGCTTAGGAGCAGAAGCAGTTATAAAGGTATTGTGTCAAATAGCAAATAACAGTTATGATAGAGGAATTTGCATAAAACATAAGTCTGTTTCACTGTCTGTTTCCAACCCTTCCTGTTAGGAACTCCAGAGTAGCAGCAGAGTAGGTGAGAAGAATAACTACTTCCGGTTGACAGGCTTACGTCAAGATACTTTGAGCTATGTAGGAATTTCGACATAGATAAGTCGGAATTTCGATTTAACTATCTAGTTATTTCTACTTAGCTAAGTAGAAATAACGACTTAGAGCGTTTTATTTCTCTTTTAACTGGTGGGAATGGGCTTCCATAATTGCAGTATGGCCAATGATCGTGATGTATGTGAATGCAGTAACACAGAAAAAACTTCCAAATCCAAGATCATCATCCTATGACTCCCTTGCAGAGGCACGGAATGATCCTTTTATAATGGCCAAGTTTCATTTCTTCATGGCTGTCTCCAGAACCTTCTCCACTTTTCTGACTAAATATCAGACAGATGAGCCTGTGTTGCCATTCATTAGCAAAGACCTGGTCATGCTCATGAAGGTAATAACATCCTATTGACCCTTCTATTTGAATTTATTGTCATTAAGACATGTTATTTACATTGACATAATACATGTGTGTTCTCAGAGTGGAGTTTGCTAAAATGGTTCATCAAAGAAGAAATCCTTAATGACATCACTGCACTGCAGATGGTCAGACTGGACACAACTAACACGAAAGCAAGAAAACGACCAAAGAATGTGGACATTGGCTTAGGAGCAGAAGCAGTTATAAAGGTATTGTGTCAAATAGCAAATAACAGTTATGATAGAGGAATTTGCATAAAACATAAGTCTGTTTCACTGTCTGTTTCCAACCCTTCCTGTTAGGAACTCCAGAGTAGCAGCAGAGTAGGTGAGCTCAGTGTGTTGGAGTTTAGAAAGGACTGCATGGACTGTTTGACTAACATCATCCAGAAAATGCAAGATAAGAGCCCACTGAAGTACACGGTTGTGAGGCAGGTGGCATGTTTGGACCCAGCAAACATGTTCTCAGACCCTAATTTGTGCCAGGAAAGAATGAAGCGACTTGTACATAGGTTTCTGCAAGACCACCAGCTGCCAGGAGGCATCTCTGCTGGTATTTAAGTTTTTAGAAATCTAGGGAAATGTACATGGTCACATTTATCTGAAGCTTGCTTTCACACAATTTAGCAGCAATTGGTTTTCAGTTTTTTTTTCATGATGTTAATTGTGTTGTTTTGTCTTAATCTGTTTTACAACAGGTGATGTAATTGTCCAGCAGTTTGGAAACTTTTTGTCTCTGGAGGCAAAATCTGAGTCATTGTCTTTGTTCCAACCCATGAAGACAAGGCTGGATGTTTTCCTGCATGGTCTCCTCTGTCAGTCTTACCCTGAGCTCTGGACTTTCTGCAAGAAACTACTGCTCCTCTCCCATGGCCAAGCAACAGTGGAGAGGGGTTTTTCTGTGAACAAGGAGGTAGAGGCTGATAATATGCAGGAGGACACAGTTGATGCTCAGAGGATGATATGTGACTATGTTTCTGCCTGTGGGGGGGTTCTAAAAGTTCCTCTGACGAAGGAGATCCTGGCAGCTGCAGCTTCTGCAAGATCTCAGTATCGGCTACACCTGGATCAGGAAAAGAGAAAGAAGGAGAGCAATGCACAAAGAGAAAAGCTGCAGAGGACCTCCTTGAGCAGCTCAAAAAGAGGAAGATGGTACTAGCTGAGGTGGCAAACAGCCTTGATAAAGAAGCAGACAAACTGACAGAGCAAGCTGAGGGTAAATCAGGTTCACTCATGGCCCAGCTAATCACCAAGTCAAATGTTCTGAGGAAGCGATTCAAAATGAAATATTCTTATTAAATACCTTGTTCATTACATAGTTGAATGTGCTGACAACAAAATCACACAGAAATTATCAATGGAAATCAAATTTAGCAACCCATGGAGGTCTGGATCTGGAGTGACACCCAAAATTAAAGTGGAAAACAACACTACAGGCTGATCCAACTTTGATGTAATGTCCTCAAAACAAGTCAAAATGAGGTTCAGTAGTGTGTGTGGCATCCACGTGCCCGTATTCATTGGCAGCTTGGTCTTAAATTTCATATAAGTTGGTCTTAAAAAGTCTTAAATTTAATTTGTTAAACTCTGTAGACACCCTGATCCATCCAGTCGTAGTTTAATACAGCCATATATTTAGATGAAGTGCATCACTGCTCAGAGTCTTTATCAGATGATGGATATCTATGCACATGGTATCAGGTATGCAGTGACTAATGTTCCTGTGTCTGACGCCCCCAGGTGGTAGAAGATGGTTATGAGTTCTTTGCAAAGCGGCAGCTGGTGACTCTGTTCTCGGCTCCAAACTACTGCGGAGAGTTCGACAACGCCGGCGGCATGATGAGCGTGGATGAAACCCTGATGTGCTCCTTCCAGGTATGAAGTCAGGACCAAGTGCTGATGTTATACTGATATCCGCTGCATGCGCAAAATAGATGAAGGATTGCGAACAGTGTAACGGAAAATGGTATTTGAGGAAATGTGAAGGTTGACAGTGGGTTTGTATGTAAATTCAGCTGTCAGATAAATGCACGTGAGTGAAGAGCACACTATACCCCTCTGCTGTACGGGAGTACACGCATAAAGAAGCATGTTACATACCCACAGAACAGGTTGTCTTATTTAAAAGCTAATGCTTGATGGCTGCATCCTAGATCCTGAAGCCATCTGAGAAGAAAGCCAAGTACCAGTATGGAGGGATGAACGCTGGTCGGCCCGTCACTCCTCCCCGCACAGCCCAGCCTCCAAAGAAACGATGAAGACGCACAGAGACAGAATGAGAGAGAGGGAGGATTCTCTCCTGGTGGCTTTTCACAACAAGTAAACACGTAAAAGCGGCACTTGGCAGAAGAGAAAACCGATGAACACAATTTTAAAAGACACACCCACCCTGTCTTTCATTTAAACTTTTTTTAAATCTCCCTATAAACTGTCAGTCTTCTTCCTCAGTGCTTTTTATCTCTGCGTCTGTGTAACATTTTTAAAAAAAGAGTATTAAAAGTTAAATGAGAAAACTACGAGGGTGTTGTTCTGTAGCATATCAGTGTTTTTTTTTTTCCTTTGTCTTTTTGTCCTTTGCCTTTTATTTCCTTGACAAGTTTACCACATTTCCTTACTCCCCTACCTGTACAGACACAACTAGGGGTGCACCGAACTTTTGGCCGCCGAAAAGGCCATTTCTATTTCGGGCCGGAATAAAATAAAAAAAACACGCTGAAAATGCCCTGCCCAGCACAGGTTAGGTTTCAGTCACACTGGAGCTGTTATATCACGCGTCTCCCCATCAACAACAAAGCATGTCAGCGGTATGGAAGCATTTTGAAGTTTCAGGTGAGGACACCAAAGTTGCAATATGCAACATTTGTTCTGCGAAAATATCAAGAGGAGGTACGGTGCCAAAGAACTTTTCGACAACAGGTTTGATACACCACCTGAAATCACGACATCCAATTGAATATAAGGAGTACCGCAAAACAACATTGGTTAAAATTGCCCCAACTACATTACTAATACCCTCGGTCGCCACATTCTTTGAAAAGACTAAGAAATTTGCAGATGATAGTCCCAAAGCATGTGGCATTACTGAGAAAGTAACGGAATTCATTGCCTTAGACGACCAGCCCTTTTCGGTCGTGGAGGACATTGGATTTCGTAGGCTCATACAACATTGAACCGTGTTGTACACTGCCACAGCAGAAAAATGTCTACCTGAAATGTATGACCGAGTTGCAAAACACAAAAAGAAGCCATTTTCGGTTTTGTTTCGGTTTTCGGCCAAGTGCATCCTAAATTTTCGGCTTCGGCCCAGAATTTTCATTTCGGTGCATCACTAGACATAACAGGTGTTAATGGCAACCGCTGGGTTTTCAATAAATAATACAGGGATTAAATCCATCTGGATGTTCTGTGCTTATTCTGCTTTAATCACTTCTCTAGGGGTCTCATTTAAAACAGTGAAGTGTGACACAAACCTCGGATGAAAGCAGTAAAACAAGGCTTCTTAAAATGCAGTTTGAGGATAGATTTGTTAATGTTAGAAGTTAGCTTCTGTAACAGCGAGCTCTTATTTTGAAATAGGCATTTTACACCAAGTAGTAGTTATGAAACCATGATCAGTACATCACCACAGCTACACACTGCAGCTTTTTCCTGCAGCCATAGTTCATTTAAAGCTAAGGATCCTTAAACATTACCTCTTATCCTTGTGTGAAAACTACAGCCCTGGTAAGGAGATCAATCTTTTCATACAAATGACAATTTAGAACAAATACAAAGGCAACTGGTTGAAATAATCCATTTATTCACAGTCAGGTCTTTACACATGTTATGAACATGCACAGGTGCATTCCCTTTACTGTAACTCGTGACACAGGGTCTGCAAGTTCCTGTGTTCATCGTCTTGCCGGCACCTCTATGAAGCACAAGCGAACTGCATGTAATGGATGATATCAAGTATTAATGATATGAATGCATCACTGAAAACAACAGGATGATGCATTGCTGCTTTGAATCCACTGACAAAACTGTTCTGAGATAATGGAGAGGTCCTGCTCCATGTTGACACCTCTGCAATTAACAACAAGCATAAACTCTTTACAAGGAGGCAGCAGCTGGTTTCTACAGCCAGTCCAATATGATGCAAACACAACATGAGCCTTTTAAAATTTAGGCCGATTATAACAGCTGAAAATGTTAATATACTTGCAACTACATACTGTACCCTGCCTGAGGATTACTGTACCTAAAGTAACTCATCTAACTAACATTCTTCATATGTACACCACGTTATAAGTAGCAAGGAAACCTCAGATGACCAGTAAGAGTTTAATTTCTTCTAACCCACATCAGGTTCTTATTTAAGTATGACACAGCACTATACATAAGGACCCCGATATTAAATGAGCTGAATACAAACATCTCCTTTACTGTAGCTGCTTTGACGTGACATGGGAAACGTGGTGCATTTCAGCTTCCTACATCAAGATATTAACTACATTTACAGATTGGGATTAGCACAGGACAACATTTTTAGGTGTCAGGTTTTGTCTGGATGTGAAGTCAGCATAAATGAAGTCAGTCACACTTTAAAAATACAACAACAAATCCCATATTACTCCCTTCATCTGGACTGAGGCCTTGGTTCACATCACTCATTTCCTCCATTTACATGTACATGTCACCTCTTCTTGTGTGATACACACACAACCGCTCACCAAACTCTTTGTTTACGAATTCAGTGAAACTTATGGAAAACCACATACTTGAATAATAAGTATACAAATTAAGTTACTGAGCAAAGGGGAAGAAAAGCTAAATTTTCAATCTACGTACATGTACAGTACATAGTGTAATGCTGGTCATGAGGCTGAAACAGAAAAATACAATCTAGTGCAATAAATTAATTTCTATACATACGAAGATGTGTTTGCACAGTAAAATGAGAAAAGTGTAATGGTGTCACTGGAGCCTGGTACAAGTGAACATGTCTTTAAAAAAAAAAAATCCAATACTTTAACACAAGTGCTCTATATATAAATCTTTATACCATACTAAAGAGAAGAAATGCTCAGCATTTGAAGTACCATATGTTTCTTTTTCCTCCCTAAAACTGACATCTGATCAGACTGTTAACAGATCACAGTAACAACAGCATCATCACCAGTGGCGGAGAGTAACCAAGTACATTTACTCAAGTACAATTTCAAAGTATCTGTACTTTACACGAGTATTATGATACTTCATACTTAAACTTCACTATATTTCAGAGGCAAATATTGTACTTTTTACTCCACTACATCTATTTTATACCTTTAGATACTTTTCAGAATAAGATTATTATATTGTATACTGGAAAATTCCCACCCAGCTGCAACATTAAATATGATGAACACAACAATGCATCAATACATTAATGTTAAATTGGCCAGTCTGCATAAAGAGTACTTTTAATACTTCAAGTATGTTTTGATGCCAATACGTTTTCTACTTTTACTTAATATTTCGAGTGCAGGACTTTTACTTGTAACAGTAATTTGACTCTGTTGCATTGCTACTTTTACTTAAGTAAAGGATCTGAGTACTTCTTCCACCACTGAACATCACTGTGCTGGTACATTTAATAACAAAAGAAGAGCAGAAGTTCTACAAAAAAATAAATTAATAGAAAAAAAAAAGATCTAATCCTGCTTGTTGTTGCTGAGCCAGAAGCTGCACCACAGCTCCACTCCATGGCAGCCCAGCCATGTCAGTAGAAGGCTGTCACATGACCCGTTGGCCTGAACACTGGCAGGTCACCGAAAGTACAGCACAGTATCAGCAGGTACCGTGAACTCTTTTCTGTCAGTACACAGTGAAAGTGGGGAAATCCCAATTCCCTTAAATGCATCCACCATGTTTCCCTCACTTGCCTTTTCCCCGTGTCATGGCCTTGCCCATGTAAAGTGTTAGGAAGAGATACAAACAGGGAAGAACTGAGAAAACACATTTATACAGACATGACATCATTTCCTCTGACCAACTGATTTTCAAAAAAGGGGCATGTCAGTTCCCAAAAACTGCTGCAAGCAGGAATAAGAGCTTTGGGACGTCCTTCAAACAACTTCTCAGTTGAGTGACGACTGTGGAACAATAGAATAAAATAAGGGAATTGGGATTCATCCAGTGTCTCAGCACAAGTCTTCAAATTCACCTTTGAGCTTTGTAAGAGAAGGAAATGAAACATTGAAGAACTTCAGTCTTCTGACCAGTAGATGGCAGCAAGAGCTTTGGTCCTGGAGAGATGACCAGAGGCAACTAGAAGGTGAGGAAAACCCTGAATGGGTAAAATGGCCCCTGATCCTTTATGACTCTGAGCCTGTGCTCAGTTGGCCCTTTCAGTAATCCATCCATGCCCATCAAACAGGTCATTAACCAACCTTTGTGTGTTTTTTTTTTTAAATTGACAGTACACATCAAAAATACCTCTGCAGACTCTGATCCTTACAGCTGTTCGTTAAAAGAAAAGCCAATGCCAGAATAAACAAACTGCACCTAGAGCAAGCATTTCTATGACAGACAAGTCTCCTGGATAGCAGCATGAGGAGGTGAATCCAATCTCTTTCTAAGGTTTCCCTTTATCTACACCTGATCAGCTGAGGCCAATGCCATAAAACTACTTATAAGTAACTTTAATTAAACACAAACCTAAAACAGAAGAACATAAATTAGTCAAGATAAAAAAATAATGTAATAAAATCAATCTTGTAACAACTGCATAAAGTTTGTTCAGACTGGCAGCCACTAACATAACCGGTATTCGTTTGGATAAAAGAGCATTTCCCCTGTTTGCTTGGGAATCTTATGACCAATGCCAATTCACTGCCTATTTGTTTACAGCATCAGTCAGGGTCAGGTTGTAAACATAGTCATACTGTAATCTGCATAACACCTGACGGATGAGTGGCAGCGAAGAAACAGGGAGGGTCGTACGGGAATGTGTGAGAGTGTGCGCAAAACTAGACCAGAGCCCTGAGGGGGAAGGACAGGCCCGCTCCTATGGACAAGCCCAGGGCCAGGAAGAAGGTCATCAGGGCCCCTGCAGTCTCTGCATCCTTAGGCTCCACTAACCTGACGAGAGAGCACATGGGAACAGACAGTCAAACACAAGATATAGTCAAGGGGCCACACTGGTTATTTTGTCAAGTCCAACCGGCCAAGTAACTACAAATTACATACTTGCTGCTGCTACCCGGCATCACTTATACACCCGTCTTGTGTTTTATGAATGTGTATCCACAGTCAGGTGTAATTTACAAGGTCAAACCTGAACTGCAGAAACAGTTTGGAAGCGGCCAGCTTCTACTGCACCTGAAAGCCGTACACAACTATAATGCAAAGAAAATGACATACTAGCAGTTGAACACATCTCCTCTCACTCACTGTGGTGCGTAGGACATGGAAAGACAGACGAAGTAGCCGCTGGATAGAGAGAAGAGTATCATGATGGCAGCGAAGGCACCATCGTGGGCAAAGTAGACGGGAAGGAAGGAGCGACTCTGGACATTACAGAGCATCAGCAGAGGGATGAACACCACCCTGGAGACCACCAGTGCCGGGAACAGGCGAGACTCTTTCCGAGGCTATGGAAGAGACGGGAAACATGAGTTTATGTGGACAAAAAGTACAATCGCAAAGGAATGCCTGATGGTGTGGATGTGAACCACAGGAGGGATTTTGATGTGTGGGAGCTGGGGAGTAGGGTTGCATGAAAGGCACAGAAACATCTGGTACTGTAGAAGCAACAAATGAGGAAGCCAAATCCCATCGGCCTGGTTACTATTTTTGTTCCAGCAGAGGACGAGTGAAGGCTCCATAAACACAGAGCTAGTCACAACAGGGCTTGTCAGTATGATGGGAACAGCACGGTATATGCTATGAGACTAAATCCATTTATCAGCCATCAGACTAAGTGATGTAGTTTAAACTTCTGTAACAGAACTGAAGCTGTGTGTGCAGGCTGCAGGCGCTCCGGCAGAAATCAGCTACCGTGCATGTCAAGTCTGGTTGGTCAGATTCTCATTTTGCATCTCTGCTGCCACTGAACAGTACCAGGATGCAGGAGAAACACCCTTCTCCTATGTAAACATGATATGATCAGACACTCACCCAACGAATCAGTGTGGTGATGGTCCGACCCAACCAGTCGTTGATGTTGAACATCAGGAAGCAGCACACTGACATGAAGTAGCGCTCTGAGGAAAGAATGAAAAGCAAGGGACTTAGGAACAGGAGGATCTGGCAGTCTACAACACATGAGGGTAGAGATACCCATTAAGTGTTTGTGGAGCGCAGCAGCCATCTCATCTAATCACTGAGTTGAACTGAGGTGTGATCATACCCCATTTCCCTGGGAAAGTAGTTCTGACATCTGCAGTGACAGCAGGGAACACGGACAGAGTGACTGTGAACACGAACGTCACACAGAACGCCATCACCCAGATCTACAAACGGAAGAAAAAAAGTTCATACACACAACAGAACAGAATTATTTCATCACACTCAGAACACTGGATCCTTGTATCTTAGAAACTGTTTGACTGTAATAACAATCCAGTGGCTTCACCTTTTTGAAGACCTCCATAACTGAAGCCTTGGCCTGTGCCTGCTCCACCTGCTCCAGGGACAGGAAGGCCTGCTTGGTCCCTTCTGAACCGGCGTCCTCCTCAGATTTAGCTAAACCGCTGCTGGCCACTGAGCCATTAACATGACTGTTCTGCTTTCCATTCTCCACTGTGCTGCTCTCTGCAATTAAATACCACATACTACAATTTTTTTTTGATTTATTCTTTCAAGCATGTAAAGACAGTTGATATGTCAACACACATAATTCCACAATGTTCCACCTGATAAATCATTAAACCTGTTCTTGCATATGTGATGCCCACCAATGTGTGCCCACATTTGTATGAATGTGTATTTTACTTTGATATAAAGCATGTAACAGTTGTTCTATCTTCTCTTGAAGAGATGTTTGGTACTGTTGAAATGCCAATATACTGTATTGTATCCGTAGTCACACCACTTTTGACAGTAGGTGGCAGTGTGGGTTTGTTGTCTACTCCAGGGACTGTAGACGGGAGCGCACGCACCGCTATTTCCTCATAATGGCGGAGAACATCGAAAAGAGGAAACACGTCTCCCTGTCTTATCATTTCTTTCCTGTATTACAGGTTAGTGTTGAACAAGAAAACCCCACAAAACTGCTAGAGTCAATAAGCAAATGTTGAGTTATGATTCAAGGGTGAGTGGTAGAGTGAAGCTAGGGGAAAATGGTTCTGTGTATTCGTGGAAAGTAAGCTAATGCCCACCGAGAGCGATAGTAATGGCGGTGGTACACTCGATCATTCTCTTAAATAGCATGCTAGCTAC